CATGTCAACATCACACCCATTGGAGGGATAATTACCTAGATCATAATGATGAATTAGCTGTAAAAAGTTCTCTTCTTTAGCTTTTGTCATGCAAAATTCACGCAAGAGATTATGAACCTGACATCTATTGACCCCACCATCGGAACTTCTTTCACTGACAATTACAAGGCTATGATTAACAAGATCCATCAAGTACTCCATTGCCACATCTTCCAACCTCCTTTGATCTGTTGTTCTTATAAATCCTTCTGAAATCCATAATAGGGTCATCTTCCGGGCTCTGATATTTTGACCCTCAGCAAATGCTCCAAAATAGAGAAAGCATGGTTTAAGATGATCTGGTATGTGTCTGTAGCTTAACTCCAATATGTCCATGGACCCATCAATTGGATGGCTCGAACTCAGACTTCGAGCAATTCTTTTCCACCAATATAGACTATTCTTTGACTTACCAAGGATTCCAGCAACCAACACAATTGACAAAGGTAGTCCCTTGCACTTTCTTGCAATTTCCATGCCAACTTCAACTAAATCTTGTGGACATTCATCTTTATGGAATGTTTTCTGTTTCAATAACTCCCAACCTTCCTTCTCATGAAACGGCCGAAGAGTATGGAAGTAGCACTTGCATTCATCTTGCCAAGATAACTTGTGAATTCGGCTCGTGAACAGAATTCTGCTTCCATTGTTGTTGTCAGGAAATGATCCCTTTAATTCATTCCAAGCTCGAATATCCCATATATCATCCATAACTATAAGATAGCTTCGTCCAATCAAACATTTTCTGAGCCGATTTGCAAGTTCGTCATCACTCGTTTCAAAAGTATCATGACTAGAAAGCTCAGTGACATTACTTAACATTTCAAGCAATGCATTTCTATACCTATATTCTTGAGACACACAACACCAGACACATTGAATAAAGTGATAACGGATTGATGGATGGTTGTAGACTTTCTTGGCTAAAGTTGTCTTACCTTGGCCAGGCATACCAATAATCGAAACAATTTGAAGTTGTTCTGATCCTCTTGTAAGTCGATCGATTATGGTTTCTGCCTCATCATCAAATCCGACAACAGGCTCATCTATTCTTGAGTTACTAGCTTGTGCTGGGAAGAGATGCATGGAGTTCAAATTTGCGCAGAGGATCCCAGGATTCTTACTTCCAAGATTCTCAACCTCATTCCTGGTGGTCTTAATTTCTTCAATGACTGTAGAAAGACATATTACGGTATACCAGAAACGAGTATTTCTGATTGAACACAAGTCAGTGACATGCTCTGCGTGGTATGCCACATTGATAATTCTTCTCCAAAGATCTTTCAGCTGCTCTTGCTCATTTCGTCCATCCATTTTATCCGTGAGGCAAGTCCTCAGTGACTGCAGCTCCTTCTGAACAATCACAACCTTTTGCTTTACAAAAGGGATAAAATTGGCATTCTTTTTTTGCATTTTCGCTAAATTTTCCAAGATGAAAGAAATATATCCGGTTCCATGAGTCCTGAGAGAATAAAATTCTGATGCATCTGGAATGTAGATGTAGAACTTTCTGACCACTTCCCGGAGTGTCTTAATCTTTCCTAGGATTTCAGACAAAAGAAAATTCTTCTTTTTGATGACATTGTCATTCATTTCCTCCAAACAGACTGAGGAAAGGAGAGATGCTGCCTCAATGACAACGGCATGAGCTTGTGTGAGGATTTCATCTTCACAGTCCTCTGGTGAATCCATCAGAAATGCTATTATGATGATAAGCCCTTCTCGAATGATCTCAATGCGGTCCCTGAAAACAGCAGGAGTATCCTCCAGCAGAATGTTGACAAAGTCTGCAACAATTTCACCCATCAGAGAAGTGTCATACGCTGACAACTTTAAAGCTTTGAGGACTCCAAGACACATCCCTGTAACCCCTGAAGCACAAGGCCAACTCTCCTCATGCAGATCAGAAATCATGGTATTCATTTTGCACTGCATGTTTTCATCATTTTTATTGATCCAGCACAAAAATGATAGACATGCTACTTTGTTAGCCCAAGAACGGATATGAACCAACAAATATTCAAATTTCTGATGCTCATAGCAACGTTGTGCGGTGAAATCAAAAAACTTTCTAAAGAACCTTAGTTTCTCTTCAAGGGCACTAATATGCTTACTCAGTGGAGCAATCTGTTCATCTTCCGAGTGACGAAGATCCTTAAGATTCGTGATGATACAGTCCATGAAATTGAAGACCTCTCCAGTCAGAGAAGCCTTGATGAATTCTACTGAGAAATGAAGCATAAAATTGCAATTCTTTCTAATATCAGATTTAAACTGCTCAACATTTTCTAGCAAATTAGAAGTCAGAAGACGCCAATTTCTACCCTTTTTCTTCCGGATTGCACAGAGACCAGCTGAATAAAGGCCCTTATTTGCTACTTCTACTGCAGAACTAATGGAATTAATAGCGAACTGCAACTGACAATTCTTACCAGCTTCTTCGGACTTGGGCAAGCACCAGAGAAACATCTTCAGGAAATTTAGCTCCACTTGAAACTTTTGTAGTTGATCCTTCATTGGATCAGTCAAGCCTCGTTCATTTCCTAGGCGTGTTAACTGTTCCATGGTGGAATCAAGACAAGTATTTGCCATTTTCTTCTCCTAAATTTGTCCTCAGATCTTTCTTTGGAGCATCAAAGAAGATGATTCAGGGAAACTTAATGGATATGTGAACAACCATTTGGTATCTTTCTTTGTCAATGACTCTGACTTCCAGTTCTACCATCCCATTATTCCGTTCACTTTACATTAAAGCTACTCGGTGCTAGTACTACTTTTTATTTAAGTAAAGAAAGAAACTAGCATGATCACTGAATATCATATGTTGAACTTTGACGCTTGTCTCCATGACCACGGGTACAAGATGGTCCTCCAATTATCTTAAGTACGTCAATCCCTGTAAAATTCCTGGAGCTTTCATGGATACATCATACATACATAGATAGCTTCATCATCTGTTTACCTTCCATGGATAGCTTCTCACTGGTGCTTATTAGGCGCTTATAAGCGCACCTAGTTTATACAAAATAAAAACAAAAACAAAAATAAAAATAACATGCAATCGATATTCACATTTATGGTTAAATACTTCTTTATTCAATTTCAATTTGTTAAAAATCCAGTGCCTTTGATCCAAGTAGAAGTGTCAAAATCGGTGAATTGGGCGGGTTTAGGCGGGTCATTATTGGTCAATGAATATAATTGGGTTAATTCATTTATATGCATTTAATAAATGGATCAAAATGAGTCAATTTATTTATACCCATTTAAAAAATCGATATAGGTATACCCAATTATCCATTTATGACTTACTTAAAATTTTTACTTATTTTTTTAAAAAAATTTGAGTTTGGACAGATCAATTATATTGGGTCGTGCATATATATAGTGTTTAAAAACCATTGGGACCGGTATAGGAGTGAAAGAAAATTCAATTTTGGAAGACAAAGAACTTGGGTTTAACTTTAACCGATCCCTCATAGTGATAAAATATTGGGAAGAACTTGCGCTGTCTTTCACAATCAATTAATCGTTTGTTGTACTTGAGACCTACCAAAAAGTCTTGAAAAAAAAAATTCTTAATGTCGAGTGGAGTAGGTATTTTTGCTCGAAACATAAAGTAAAGTTGTTGAGCGTTTATCTTTTCTTTCTTTAATTTGTTTTTAAACTTTTGGGGCCATGAACAGAACAAAGCATATTGACTTGGTGAAAACTAGAAAACAAGCCGTTTGTTTGGTAACGGGAATCCTAGGACGTGTTTTTAATTCGAATTTATCAATCCAATTTAAGAGATAAAATTAAAGAAGGGCCGGTGCTCAGGCTATTTAACGGGTGCTCATTTAACACTTATTAAAATATAGTGTAGGTGTCATATTTTTAAAAATATAAGATTAATTAGGAAAAGTAAATAAGTATAACGAAGGGTAGGTGAGATTAGATAAGAAAAGTATATGAATGTAAAAAAGGATAATATTTGTTAGTATGTAAATATACATTATAGGTTAAATGAATTTTAAGTGTAATATACGAGTGTCTAATGGGCTTGACACTCGTTAACAAAAATTCATTAAAGAAGAGTTATAATCATAATATCCATTTCACTCCGTTATAATTTGCATAAATATCCACTTTATCTCTTTTGTGATTTTTTGTATTTATTCATATAATTCCTCTATGATTTTGTACAAGATGGTTAAGTCTTCATTTGATTTAATATTTAAGCAAGGACAATGCTAATGTTTCAATTAATGACGTTATATAGGCTATTTTCATTAAATTTCCAGTTTACATGAAACCATAGGGGGGTGAAGCAGATATTTTGAAACATTAGGGGACTATGTGGCAATAGATGACACCACATGGGGTTCTTAGTAATTTGCTCAAATTTTTATTGTGTACACTGTAGTAAAATACAGCAGTTGCCCTCACTATCGAAAATCAATATGTTTTTAGAATAGAGAAAAACCAACAGAATTCTAGAAGAAGAATTAAAGTTTGAACGCAGCTACACATAAAGTCTAATCATAGTAGTGATTTTCTGTTTAGTTTTTGGGCAGAGAATATCAGAATATGTTTTTGGATCAATTGATTCGGCTTTATACTTATGAACTGTAGCTTAGCCATAACTGTTTCAAGATGAAACCTCATTTTATAGTATATATACCTTTGTATAGTTTTCCATGGGCGAGAAAAATGTATAGACTAAGCCAATCATCTACGACTCAGCTCCTTTGAGCTTTTGCTCTGGAACCTGGCTCTTCCAATAATTTTTACAAATATTGCACCACAATTCAATATATGGTTTAACATTGTTATTGAAGATTGAATATATTCAGAATCATACTTGGTCTACTGATCCAACACATGTTGGAAGTGTTTTTTAAAGAGTTGAAGTGAAAATGTAAGGTCAACATTTTTGGTAGGAGGCTTTTCTGCTGGGAGCTAGCCTCATTATTCATTACTCAAGGCTCAGTCGATGGTGCTTGACAGAACGTTGTGACATTGGCCTGAGCAGAACTGCAAACTGGATTTCCAGACAAGCTGTTGAGCATAAAAATGAAGAGATCATGAATGCCAATAGAAAAGGAAAACAGAGTAAAATCGAGGGAACTCAAGAACAGGTATCTATCTTACCTAAATGTCTGCTTGAATGTTGAATCAACTGTTATAGAGGATATGCCATTGTTCTCCAAACGGACGAGTTGAAGTCCACGGTTGATGTTGCTACTGAGATGTAATGTGCCACTAAATGCATTGCTCCTCAGACTCCTGTAAAAGTTTGACATAAGGAAACCCAACAATTTGGAGTTAAGAATCCATTTGATTTCATTGAATTGATTTTCAGAATTTCACACATATGAGGGATTGTTCTTGCTTACACTACAACAATCCGTGGCAAGTTGAAGATGTCTGTGGGAACCAATCCATAAAATGGTCCGTTGTCAATAATCCTGAGCACCAAACAAGTTAAACTAGGATGAATACAGAGGCCAAAAAACTGTAGAATTTGTCCTAGACCTCCCGAATCTTACAGTATATTAAGAGAAGGTAAGGCTGAAAGCCAGGCTGGAGCTTCGGATTTTTGAAAAGAGTTGTTGCTCAAGTCCCTGTGAAGAGAATTTGTGAATAAGTTTAACAAAATCTCAATTTTGTGACAGTATGAAGAATTGGATTGCAGAAAATCTCTGTTTGTTCCTTACAAGCGAAAAAGGTTATTCAATCCAGCTAAGTTTGGCAATGGACCAGATAGCATATTGTTTTGTAATTCCCTGCAAGTTTTGTAAGAGGTAGGACCTTTAGTGCCAGCTCTCATCATTGTCAAATAGATGATTAATTGAATTTAAAGAAAAAATACCCACAGCAACATGAGATTCTTCAGTTCGTTAACGTTTGAAGGGATGTTGCCAACGAGGGAATTTCCATCTAGACGTCTGTAATACGTCTCAAGAAACGAATTAAGAAACTAACAGAACCTAAATATTCTCAAAAAGAAAATGGTAAGTTTTACTTACAGTGTGAGAATTGTTTGTACTAGTCCAATACTAGAAGGAATTTCTCCACTGAATTGATTTTTATCAAACATTCTGTCGTCCAATGGCACAAACTATCAGGAATAGTTCTTGGAGGATGGTATGATTGGAGAATGGCTAGTAACTTACACTTGTGTTAGGACCATGTCAGAGCTGAAAAGTTCGGGAGGGATTGGACCAGATAGCTGGTTTTTGCTAAAAATGCTGTAAAGCCATAATAATGAGACAATTGTCGAAACAAGGACAAATAGCAAAAAGAAGTGATTTGAGGTTCAGATTTTACTCACAGTTGTTTAGCATTTTTAAGATGGTCCAATCCTGGAGATGTTGATGTTGAAACAGGGATAGATCCTGTCAACTGATTATCAGCTAGGTCGAGCCATTGCAATTTGGTGATATTTCCCAAAGTAAATGGTATCTCACCAGTGAAGTTATTTCCTCTCAACGATCTATTATCAGTGCAAGATCAGAAGTGGAAGAGGATAGTTATATAGCAAGAGTGCAAGACTATCAATGCAAGAAAGGATAGTTATATAGCAAGACTATCAATGCAAGAAAATATCATTGAAAAAGATTGTGGCAGATCATACAGAAAGGACAACTGCCCAAGGTTTCCCAACTCAGGAGGTAAAGTGCCAGTGAAGCTACATCCTTGTAAGATTCTAGGAAATAAAGAAGACAGTAAGTAAAATTATAAAGAATTTTCAAGTTATGAAAGGGATGCTCAGAAAACAAGGAGCACATCTTGTAGGAGCTTACAATGTTTCCAACTTTTGTAGATCTCCTATATGAGGAGTGAGGGAACCGCAAAGTCCTTGGTTGAATGACAGATCCCTGAAAATAATCAAGAAAAACTTGAGAAAGATGAATCAGGTTGCATAAAGAAGTGCTTATAACTTGAAACTTAATTCCATGTCGAAATTAGTGTACGAAACAAGATATTATTCTGATCTTAATTTTGCAGGAGGAAAGATGGAAAGCTCACAGGGATGTCAATTCAGTGAGTTCACCAATGTCAGCACTCAGCTCCCCAACTAGTCCTTTTGATGACAATTTCCTGGTGAGTAAAACATTAGTTTGTAAACAATTAGTTATGGAATCAAAATATACAAAATGATGAAAAAATTGTTTACATTCTTTCCAGACTTTTAATTTATTTTTGATCTATTGGAAGTCATAAAATATTGAATTTGCTTACAATGAAGTCACCCTCGTGCTGCTGCAGGTAACTCCATCCCACTTTGCTCCACAAGGATCATCCCCATTGCTCCAACTCGGTGGAGTGTTTTGCAACTTTTCTTTGAAAGATTGAAGTGCTGCAACTACAATAAGGCATTTCAACTTGTAAAAATTAATAACATTTGCCGAGTTTTTCAGTCCTATATATCTAATGAACAACAATTCTCGTACCACACAGAAGTATATTTTATATATTGCCTGGTCTAGTACTTCAAGTCCAGTTGCAAATGGATTGATTCGTTTAGATTATACCTTTCATGATTAAAACTAGCCAAAAAAGGCTATAACACGACACATGTCTGTGTGCATAAGTGACATTTCTCAGAGTCATTATTCACACAATTCAAAAGATGGAAATTTGTGGAAAATGGCTATTAAGGAACTATAATGTCAGAATTCTTTCACTGCACCTGTTTGCCAGTTCGAAAAATTAGAAATGAACTATTCTACATATATTTGTTTAATTAGATAACCATGTGCGAAAATTTTATATAGCACTTAATTACCATCACTGGGGTTAGTCTCGGATGAGATTGCATGAAATCCTGCAGACAAGACCAGGAAGCAAAGTAGCATCCGAACGAAAGCCATGACTCCAAACTTTTTTCAGACTAATAGCAAAGGAGTGATGCTTAGTGTTTACTACAATGTTTTGTGCATGGTTGTATGGTGGCATGGCCTTATATAGGAAAATTCAGGATACATGTTCGCATTTTTTATATATGCAGGTACACCAGGCCTTAGCATTTCTTTAGCCGAATAAACCATGTTAACACAAAAAAGAAGGGCTAATTACCTCAAGATAAAAACGAAGATTTCATGGTCGGCTTGCTGGATTTTACCAGTGGTGTTTTCTCGATTCAATCTGCAGCTGAAAATCGTTTATTGTTACTTTTCTGAAGCCAAAGAAATACTAAAGCCACGGAAACACTTACTAGCATACAAGCAACCGATTCCTACACAAAAATACAGGAAAATGATCCAGTGGTTTTCTGGAATTATGTACAATGTCTGGACTTGACAAAGAGACCATCTTACCGGCCCAAGGGAACAAAATAGAAAAAAAGAATACGGAAAGAAGAATTATGGCGTTATAAGTAAAAGGGAACGAAAGAGGTATTCGACATTCGAAATTTGCTAGCTAAATTGAATCAAATATTGTTTTGGGAAAAGATTTTGAGGGGAGGTATTTTACGGGCAAAAACGAAATAGATTGAACCTAATTTCGGTTTAACAACAATTCTCATGAAATGAGACACATGTCAGTTGTCCAAAATGAATCAATTAAACAAGGAACATAAGTTCCGTAAATTGAGCAACAAAACATCTTTCAACACTTGGATTTGGTGTTTAGATAAGTGCATATCAATGTACAACTAAATCAAATGATCATAAAATTTATGTGACAAGATGATAATGACTCTCACTAGCATTTTCTTTAAGATTTTATTGAATAGAAAAAACAGAATGCAGAAATAGCTATTATGAGATATTAAAAGAGTAGACATCCGTCCAACCACCAATGATTCCAGTAAAAGATCTTCTCAAGTTGGAATGATTCTTGTTTGAACATTTACTTGTAGGAAGGTTTTCAAAGGTTTCCAGAACTCAAGAAATCTATAACCAGACAACAAAGATGGTTGAGTTCCTCGGGTTGTTTTATACTACGTATAGACAGCGGCACTTGAACTATATTGTGTTCTGCATACGATGAAAGTGATTGCCATCATGCTCAAGCTTTATCATTGATCTTTCTCCAATTTTCGTCCTATGTGGCTTGTTGATCAGTTCATTTTATCAAGGGAAAATGACTTTCATAATGCCTTAACTTTTACCCATAATCCTATTCTGTCTCTCAACTTTTTAAAGTGTCTTTACATCCCTCTAGTTATAGATTTGGTTCTAAATGATCCCTGCAAACCAAATATAGGTATGGTGAATTTTCACTTCGCCTCCTGAAGTTTCATTTCATGTTTATTTTCCCCTCTAAATATGAAAATAAGACATGTTAGACTTATTTTGTAGTTTTGAATAAGTTTTTAATAGTTGACTAATTTGACTAATGAAAAATGATAACATTACCTTCTATCAACTTGCATAAGAAAATACAAAGTTACTTTTTAAAATCAACAAGCTTAATATTATCTTATGTTTACAAAATTTTGCTAACCTTATTTATTTTTTATTACTGTCATTATCATCATTGTTGTATAGTTTCAACTGTAATCAACCTGCATGAATGGTTAGAGGAGAAGTTAGAGTCCATAGATTAGATTTTCCATCTTTGCGAAAGAAGTCCTAGTTCATTTGAGTTTTTCCTTTCATTTTGATAAATTATTCATGTACCTCTGGAGGTCAGGTTTATGTTCTCTTTCTTTTAATTTTAATTTATTAATAAAATTTAGAACTGACATTCCTCCTCTTTGTTCAGGGTTTTAACATTAAAAAAAATGTAATCTATTGAAAATAATATATACATTATAAACCATAATCAAACATGAGTAAAAAAAATTAAGGAAAAAAATAAAAGAGACTTTTTTCCTTTATTATATAATATATTTGTGTTGACATTAAAATGATGAGCAAAAGTAAAGATAAATATGTATTCTCATATTTCATACTAGTAAAAAGTAAACAAACAAAATATGGGAATATTTTTTTCCAATTGATAAAAAAATAGGTATTGTTGATTGTACAAGTATATTTAATAATAAAAGCATGAAAAACTCTCTTTTTATTTTTTTAAAAAAATTTTTCTTATTCCTATTGGATTATTGTTTACTTTTATACATTTTTTTAGTTTATTAAACATGACGGATTCTTGACATAAGTACAAATTTAATTCCAAAATATACCCATTTGACTACAAGTATACATGTCAAATAGTAATTTAGAACATATTAGATCGATCCCACAAGGAGTGACTATTGCAAGTACTAGATCTTTACTTAGTCTATTATTTAGACTTATTATATGAAATAAAACAATAGAAATCACAATACTTACTATTTAACTAACTTAACTATATAACTTGCAAGATAACAATGAAAAAATATCACTAAATATTTGAGTATAGGGATGTAGAAACTACTTATGACACAAAAGATACAAGTAAGTAGATTTACCTCTTGTTACTATCATCATTTCCATATTTATCAAAACTCATTCTCATGATGTGGTGGTTGAGACTTGTCTAGTTTTCCCTATTCTCATGGTGAATAACTAGATCTACTCTCTAGTTCTTCATGAAATGCAAAGATAATCCACTAAGGTGTATCTCTATTCTTATGAGTCTACTCTTTAAATTCCATTTATGTTGTTCCATCATTATTACCAATTTTTATTGAATAATAACAACTAATAACTTGTTATTGGTGATCAAGTAACAACAAGTAATAAACATGCATGAATGGACATGTTAATACAAGAGGTAACAAGTGTCAATCATATTCAACCCATATCAAGTAGGCATAAGGTTCATCTACTCTCTATATTTAGAAATTTAGCTACTCATATGATATAAAGCAAGAAAGAACATAACTTCATTGCATGCACACATAATGAATCACAAGTAAAGAGAAAGATAAAGAAAACTTAGCCAAGGTGATGAACAAGCTCCCAAATCTTTCTTTTTTTTTTTCAACAACATGAGTGGCACAGTGAATTCTCCAATAGTTTCTTACAAGTTTTCAGCTAGAGATAATAAGAAAAGACTAAAACTAAACTCTTTTACTAAAATCTGATAATAACTCTCTGAAATGACTAACTCCCTCTTTCTTCAATGATTCTTATATATATATATATTGTTAGGAGAGTCAAAAAGTGTTAAATAGTATGACATAGAACTCATTTTCTCTTCCCTAAGGAATCTTGAGTATGTGCAATCTAAATTCTAAGCTAGAATTGAGCTGAAAAGCAGTGTGAAAATAGAATAAGTTGTAGAAAAATAGAGCACAATACGTGGGTTCAGAATACTCGACCTAAGCCCAAGTATGCAAGGATGCATTTTCTTTCTTGTTGCATTTTCTTATTTCTTTTCTGCTCCAATTCAATTCTAAGATTCAAGACAAGATGTCACATTTGTGTTCATGTATTGCTCCATAAAATTTGAAATGAATAACCTATTTCCTTTCCAAATCATCGTTGAATCAAGCTCTAATGGAGTTGAAGTATCTGTCTCAATCCAATGTTGATAACTCTTTTCAATTCCTATAAATATAATCAAATTTCCACTTTAAATTGCTTAAGCAAAACTTGCAAACTTTAGAAGCTTAGAGAGCAAGTTACACCATAAAACTCCTACTTTACACCGAAAATACACATAAATGCCACTTAAAAACACACATAATAAACTCTTATCACAGACCTAATAAATTGGTATCAGAACTTTAGACTTTGGATTTGTGATGATGATAATAGGATAAGCGCTACAAAGAGAGAAGAAAATTTTCTGTTGGAGTTCAATTGGATTTTGAAGAAGAGGTATTTGGCCCATTGAAACTCGTTAAGAGTTTTGTGAAGAAGGTAGAACAAGATTACTATGTTCGTGTTTTTAACCCATTGGGATCTATTGAATCTTTTGTGAGTTTTGGCCCATTGGGAGCCATTGAGTCTTTTGTATCTTGATTTGTTGGTGGCTCGTTAGGGTCTGTTGGAACTTTTGTGGTTCGTTGGATTTGTTGGGACTTTTATGGAGAAGGCGGAGCACATGTGCTATTTGCTATTTATCGATGTTGGATACACGCCAAGATGGAAATTTCTTGAGTTTGTCTTTGTATCCTACATCGGATATTTTACGAAGAAGTCTTCCCTTTCGCTAGTTATAAATATAGTGGACTTAAATGAGTTAATGTGTGCTAAGGGCACTAGCAAAAATGTCATATGCACCAGTTCAAGAGAGTTTTAGGAGACCCACGCCTTAATTTGAGAGGAGTTTTGGTTCGACATCAAACCAAAAGAGCAACTTATGGGCCTTTTGGATTGCTAAGCATTGTGTGTTATTTAGGATATTTTGTATTTTCAGTTTTAGGTGCTTTTGAGTCTTGGAATTATTTCCTAGGGTCTTGTACTCTCTCTCTTGTACTCTATTTTTGTTATAGTAAATTTGCTACCCCTTTGCTGTGACTGATTTATTTGTTTTGTTATTGTTTTTATTGGATTGCCAAGAACCCTTTTATTCTCATTGGTTAATTTCTTGGGACCAGATCTAACAACTTTCAAAGTGCCTTAACTTTTACCCATAATCCTATTCTGTCTCTCAACTTTTTAAAGTGTCTTTACATCCCTCTAGTTTTAGATTTTGTACTAAATAATCTCTCCAAACCAAATATAGGTATGGTGAATGTTCACTTTGCCTCCTAAAGTTTCATTTCACGCTTATTTTGCCCTCTAAATATGAAAATAAGACATGTTAGACCTATTCTGTAGTTTTCAATAAGTTTTTACTAGTTGACTAATTTGACTAATGAAAAATGATAACATTACCTTCTATCAACTTGCATAAGAAAATACAAATTTATTTTTTAACAATCAACAAGCTTAATATTATGTTATGTTTACAAAATTTTTCTAATCTTATTTATTTTTTATTA